AAGACATTAAAAAAGCACATATAACATGCATTACCCATGCAACCTAGAGGTAACAAAACATTCATATTTTATATTTGCCTCAGATATATTTTTAAAGCAATGATACTTAGATACAAATGAATCTCATTTCACTTCTGTTTTATTCCCTTTCCTGTTTCTCTAGAGGTAACTACTATTCTGAAATTAGTACTTACCCTACAAGTGTATTTAAATTTTTAAATTATAATGTATGTACTCACAATGTAGCATTGTTTTATGTTTTACAACTTGATATAAATAATAGCATAATGACATTGTTTTTCCACCTGAAGTTTCTGAAATTTATCATTGTTTATACATGAAGACCTGTTTCATTCACTTTAACTGGTTTTTTATCAGACTAAAGGGAATATAAGAATTTATTTTTGCTATTTATTTATTCTTCTTATCTTCATCATAGTAAGTACGTCTACATTGAGCACTTTTTAGATGGTTTTTCTGTACATATTTTAAGAGTTTTTTGGGGTAAATATTTGGATGTGGAATTGTTGGTTGACAGGGTTTCATCACCTTCAAAGCTACTAAATAATGCCATATTGCCCTCTTAAATTGTGGTACTAATTAACTCTATTAATAGAAATGGTAAACATTTAAAATTTCACAGATTTTCACTGGTACTTGGTGATGGTCAGCTGTCTGCTCATTTAGAATTTTATGTTCTTCAATAACCTTTAAAAATTATCTCAATTTTAAAAACATTTATTTATAAGTATCATAAAGTTTTTGTCGCTATTCTAAATATTTTTATTATATTTTCTATTTGCTTGTCATTGACATAAAGAAATACTACTGCTTTTTATAGATAGATTCTTCTAGGCTACAATCCAGTTAAAATGTCTTATGGGTTCAATATTCTTACTAAAGGACATATATTATTTAATATTTCTTTCAATGAAGTTGGACTGTGAGTGGTAAACACTCACAATAAAGATATTTGCCCCCAGTTTTAATATTTTTATCTTTGTCTTGCTGGTTGACAGATTTTCTACTATGGATAAGATTATTTTTTATCATCCTCAAACTGAGGATTTATAATAGTTTTTAATTCATGATCATTCTTTTCTCCTTCATTTTTTTTTTTTGAATATTGTTTCTCCTCAACTTCTTCTAATCTCTTCTTTGGCAACTTCTGCTAAACTTCCGTTGAATTTTATCATTCTATGAGTCAGTTAACATCATATTTATTTACTTCCTTATGTCAGTTTATAGGTAATTTTTTCAGGTCTATATTTCTGATGTTCTATCCTGCAGTTTCTCATCTCTTGTTTAACCCAATGATTGAATTTTTAATTTCAATGACTATATATTTTTTTTCATTTCTGGAAGTAAATTACATATGTTTCTTTTCCAAACCTGATTACTTTTGAATTTTAATATAGCATCTGTTTTATTTTTTTCCTATTCCTTCTTTGTTTATTCTTCAATCTTCTAATCATGCTTTTACAATTCAATATTTTAAACATTTTTATGATTTATGTGATGAAAATATTATCACAGATTTTTATGAATATAAAACTTCTTTCGGACTATCCTTTCTAGTTCTTTGTGTACAAATATTCTTATTTTTGTGGCTGCTGGTTTCCTTTTGTAGTTATTTTCCTTTTGTGTACTTTACTTGCTTTGTGATGAGATCATTTTCAGTTGAGGCTGTATTATTTTTCCTATGGGAATACCATTTCCTTGACTTGTTGAAGAATTCCAGCACATAAAGGGAGAATAAAAATGGATCCCATTCCCATGTGGCACACAGGTTTGAGGATTTGGTCCTCCACAAGGTAAGTAACCTTTACCCACTCAGAGGCCCTAAAAGAAAAGTTTTCTAGCTGCCTCTGTAGGCTTGCAGGAAGAATTTTCTAGACCCCATTTCCCTGTCTGAAAGTATTTCTAGTGTCCCTGCTTCAGTGAGTCCAGCTGCAATTTCCCTCTGTGGGTCCAAATCCTAGTGGCAAGTCCTAGTGAGGGCATTAAAACTCCAAATGTTAGCCCCGATCTTAGAACTAAGACTTGCCTCCCATCCCCCACCCCATGACCCCAGCTGCTCAGTTTAGCTTGAGCTTTTGCTTATGCTTAACTTAGATTTCCCTCTTCGGTCTGACATCTAGGAATTTCCCTTTCTTTCTTGAATCTAAATATTTATAAATCTATTTGCTATGTTTATGCAGCATATCTCTGTTTTTAAAATAGCAAAAGTGGGATAAGTGATGTCCATATCAGCTCAGTATGTCATTTTACCCACAGGAAAAATAATACAGCCACAACTGAAATGCACTCATCACAGAGCAGTCATTTAAAATTTATAAAACAAAAACCAGTTAGGCCCAAGACTTCTTAATGAAACCCTTTTTAAAAACGTCTTCACACTTCAGTGAGATATTTCTTTCTGATGAAAAATTATTTAAAAACTCATATGTTACAGTATAAGAGAATAAAGGTATAAATATTTAAGGTTAATATGCATTTTGGAGATGAATACTTATATACACATTATTTCACGTGTGATTTATATTATTTCTATTTACAGAAAAATACTTATTTAAAGTTACTAACTTGGATATAAATACATGGACACTTATGTGTATATTCTTCTCCTTCTGCTAAAAATATGTCATTTGATTTGAATTTATATCTCCAATATTTTAGTCTCTCAATAAAAGTTTGCTTCTTAGACAGCATTGTGGTCCATGCTGTTTTTACAATCAGTTGACATATCTATGTCAAATCATGTTTTTGTGAAACAGTATGAACTGTTAGATTTCTCTCTACACTAAGTGTCCTTTCAGTATTTAAATTGTATGCATATTTTGTTGAAATGCTGGGTTATTTATTATTTTTTAAACAAGAGACTGTAGGCACTTAATTGTAGTACATTGCATGCACATTTTGATGTAACTCTTCATGGCATATTGTGATATTATTGTGATATGATGTAATTTTGTGATATAATTCATGTTATATGCATATAATTTGTGATTTTTATAATTATGTAGATGTTTTATGAAACTTGCTTTCTGCAAGTTTTTAATCCTGAAACAATTTAGTTTATAAGAACTTACAGTTTTCTATTTAAGATATCACATGGTTGAAAGGCATTTATTTTAATGACGCTATTTACTTAATTTTCATTCTCTTTTATGATTTCTTAATTGCTGTTTATTGTTGCGTTTTAATTGTCTGTGTAGAGCTTCAAGTGTCTACACAGGAGGCGTCTTTCTTATTAGGATTATAATCATTCTGAGTACAATATTGAGTTCGGCTGAGAGCAGGCAGTAAGCAGCTCAAGGGGCTTTCCCTTGGAGCCCTGCTAATCACCACAGCTCTCTTGTTCTAGCCTTTCTCGCTATATTTACCAAAGAAAATGAACTCACTTGTTACTCTCTTTCCTTGCAAATACCAGACATCACCATTGTGTGAGTGGTAGGTATAGCAAACCACTTCTTTTTCTTCCCTGTTTGATTTTATGTATTCCAGAAACTCAGGAGGTTTCTTTCCATTTTAAGCTCAGTTTGGCCTGTCCTTTATTTGAACAAGTGGTAAAGGTTAGAGATTTCTGTGGAGTTTTGAAAAGAGAATAAAGCACACACAAGGCATGTTTTGATAAATACTAGAGAAGATGCACTAAGAGCCTGCAGGATTGTCCACAAAGACATACAAGATGGAGAGGAGAGGTATCCTTAAGCAATCAATCACTCACACACTGCTACACAATCTTGGTCGACTCAAGCAATTTTTCATTTCAGATAATATTGGAATGAAATGTAATAGATTAGAAAATTTACTATATTCCAGGACATGGCAACTTTTTACTACAGGCTTGGGGACTTTTCTGCTTACTGTGTCCACAGGACTTTTGTTATTTTAGTAGTTCAAAATAGGTTCCTAAATTGCCCCTGATGTAACATAAACCTATTATGTAACTATTATTATATTTAGCTTGATATTTCCAGACATTCTTGTCCCAATTCATAAACACTCCATTAAAACTAATATTTGCTACTTATATTATGGCTTAATGGTTGTATATGTACACATAGGCTCACATGTATCAAATACAACTATATAATATTTCATAGCTGCCAAGATAATACTAACATGTTAAAATATTTTTAATAAGGGTCCCTTTTTAATTGAAAATAAAGAAGAAAAGTAGTAACTTTCATTTTTACATTAGTATGGTATGCTAACTTTTTCAAAGAATGGTTCATTCTCTCAGCTAATGTAGTTATACACCGTCTGGTCAGAATGTTACAGAACTCATTACCATAGCTAAAGTAAATCAGTCTTTTCATTTTTCACTTGTGCATGCCTCTATGTTTCATAATGTTTATAAGCTGCAGATGTAATGCATCCCTTGGTGTTAACATGATTTGTTATTAGGTGAGCATGTACAACAAAGAAAGTTGCATTTCTAAAAGTACTCTTGGAAGAAAATATTGAGCCTTTAATCAATTTCATTAGGGCTTCATACATTTTTTATAATTAAACAGAAAAATTTGAATGTAGTGAGTATGTAAAGACTTACCTGGGTTCAACCTTTAGAAGTTTATTTAAAAATTCAGAATAAAACCCTTGACAGAATTCATTTCTGATTTAGATGCAAAGGTATAATAGATTTGAATGCACTTTAGTTTTAAAGGGTTGCTATTTCTAGCACCGTATATTTTTAAATAAACACCCTAGTTGGGCAATGGGGTGAAAGTGTTTTTGTTATAAAATAACATAGCCTTTAAATGTGGTTTATCCTTTGTGCATTTGTAGGCTTTTAGATAAGTGCCTTATAAACATCTTGCTACAGTGAACCTGGTAGGCATTTAAAGACATGTATAGGGTCACCACATATAGAATAGATAGTGGATACTTCCGGAAGTCATTATAATTGCTTAATGCCAAGGAAATCAACAGAGAAGCCAAGAAAAATAACCTTCTATCTTGACAGTGGGACATTACTGGAATAAACAATGTACCTTGCAGTTACAGGGGCCAAAACAAGGGTCCTCATTTTTGCTCCCTAAGCCACTGCAGTTACAGGCTTTGCAGTCTGGGTAGCCAGTGTAGCCCCTGGCACACCGATCACAGCTCACACCTCCAAAACCAGTTTTGCAATGACAGGATCCAGGTGCCAAACCTAAAGAAAGATGAGCCACATATCAACATTTCTAAAACAAATACATTATTTCGTTCTTAAGGTTTTAATGATCGTAACCTTTAAAAGACTATTTTGACACAAAAATAGATTTTTGATGTACATCAATAAAGAAAAGTTAAAACCAAAAAGCATAGGGTTTAATTAAAAGTTTTCTATGATTGGCTAAACATAGCATCTTCTAAGTGTCAATAAAAATATTAAAAATGTAAACAAGAAAGATGAAATCTCAAAGCATCTACCAAACTATGACTATAGAAAACAAAGACCAAGGAGTGATTTCCACAAACGCTAATGCTGATGATGCTACATTGAGAAGAATAAGCAGTAATGAATGCAAAACTAGTGGCTCATGAAACAAGCCTGCTCCAACAGACTATCACAGGTGCAAGTAGCCTTGGGAATAAAGATATACTACTTAAAACAACAGTTTAACAATGATTCTCTAAGAACATTGCCACTGGCAGTATTATTAAAGAAAATAAAGGTGTTCATGGGAATTGATACTTTGGGGATAAGAAGCAATAGATGAGGGAAATGAAAAGTTTAAATTAACTTGTTTTAACATGGAGAAGTACAAAAGACACTGTTTATTCATGTCTTTGGTTAAAAAAATGGAAAAAATACAGGATGAATTAATACAACTAACAGACCTTCAAAATCTGGAGGAAGATAAAAGCAGATCAGTAGTATATATAGTCCGTCAGAAAGAAGAAAGGAGGAGGGGGAAAAAAAGGCAAGGAAACGTTAGGGAGAGAAAGCAGAAAGCAGAATGACAGAACTAGTGTCAGAAATGCATGCTAAATACATACTAATGAGTTAAGTAGTCTTACTGTTCTTATTAAAAACATAAACATGTAATATGCACAAGAGATACACAAAATGAACAGGAATATTACAAATAAAAGAAAATGAATGTGTGTCAAGAAAGCATATGGAAAAGAAAAAAAAGTTGTGAAATATTAATTAGGGCCAAAGTAGAACTCAAATAAACTAGGTTCAATAAGACAAACTCTCATTTTACATTGATAAAAATATAATAAAAACATGATTTAAATTATTAAGTTCATGCTTCAAATAAGCACTAATTATCAACACAAAAATATGTAGACAACAAAAGATTTCGGAAATAAAAAGTTTAAAAGTCAATGGCTGAAAATGATGCTAACTTACTCATCTTAAATATTTACAGATGAAGTAAGTAAAAACAGAAAATTTGAATAATCTAATAATGTCAAATTACATATTATGTGGTATATAACTTTAAATATTTACCATAGCTTATGATTGACTAATCTATAAAAAATGTTCAATTATCAAAGCAGAAATTATCTAAGGCTTATTTTCTTAACATAAATTACTACTTTTAGATGTGTATCAAATGCCACAAAAATTAGAATTAAATTAATTCCAAATATCAAACATGATGAGATAATTTTATGCAAAATTCAACCATTTTAAGAATTAATGCCTAAATATTTCTCTTTAATAACTCTTGGGTTAAAGAGAAAATCAAGACTTTGATTAAAAATAAATAGCTATCCAGGTAGAATATAATAGCAGTAAAAAGGGAACTTAATGTTTATTGGGTATGGGAAAAATAAACTGTACCCAAAAGTAAACTTCTAGGCTTAAATAGTCCATTACTTTAAAAAATACAGATAAATTAAAATTCAATTCATTTAAGTATAAGAAAGAGAAAACATAAACACCACAGGAAATAAAGAGATTTGAAACAAAGAAAAGCAAGCAAAAGGAAACTGTAAACAAAACTAATCAAGGGTATCAAAAGAGGACAAATTATCAAAGAACTACCACAAATGTCTTTTAATGCTAGTTAATTTTTTTATTATTATACTTTAAGTTCTGGAATACATGTGCAGAACATCTAAGTTTATTACATGGGTATCTATGTGCCATGGTGGTTTGCTGCAGCCATCGACCTGTCATCTACATTAGGTATTTCTCCTAATGCTATCCTTCCCCTAGACCTCCACCCACTGACAGGCCCCGGTGTGTCATGTTCCCGTCCCTGTGTCCATCCACGTGTTCTTGTTGTTCAACACCCACCTATGAGTGAGAACATGCGGTGTTTGGTTTTCTGTAATGCTAGTTAATTTTTACAGACTGTTTTCAAAACTTGAAACTCTTATGGTCATATAGAAATGGAGAGCTATGTAATTCAATTTATGAAGCTAATTTTAACTTGATATCCAAATGCAAAAAATGATAACACAAAATAAACAAAACTGCTAAGACTCAAATAGAACTTATTTTAAGGTAGTCATTGTACTTAGCATTACACAAAACACATGGGTTAATTCAGTTGGTACTCAAACATCTATATGAGGCAGACACTATTATTTTTCCGTTTCACAGATGAGGTAAATAAGGCACAGAGAAATTAAGTGATTTGCCAAAGGAGCACAACTGGTGGGTGTCTGAGTCACAGGCAGTTTAAGTTATGAATCAAGATGAGTAAAACTCCAAACTGAATCCTAAAGTACATTAAAAGGATCCCCTATGATGTCAGGTAGAACATACTCTGGAAACATAAATGTTGTTTAATTTTTTTTTTTTTTTTTGAGACGGAGTCTTACTCTGTCGCCCAGGCTGGAGTGTAGTGGCACAATCTTGGCTCACTGCAAGCTCCGCCTCCCGGGTTCACGCCATTCTCCTGCCTCAACCTCCCGTGTAGGTGGGACTACAGGCGCCCGCCACCGCACCCGGCTAATTTTTTGTATTTTTAGTAGAGACGAGGTTTCACCGTGTTAGCCAGGATGGTCTCAATCTCCTGACTTCGTGATCCTCCCGTCTCGGCCTCCCAAAGTGCTGAGATTACAGGCGTGAGCCACTGCGCCCGGCCTATTTAATGTTAATAAGTTCATTTCTAATAGATGACACTAATAGACCAAATGGAAAAGAAATCTGATAATTTTAATAAAGTTTACAAAGGCATTAAATAGTTTATCATTTACTTCTGATGTTAAAATTTCCAGAAATTGAGGCTAAATGGAGAAGTACTTCATGTATTAAACAATGCCTATCTTAACTTTTATTTCTGGAAATATTGTAAACTAGATGTCCAAAGAACCCCTCCTGTTCAGAACACTTGAAGATACAGAATAAAATTAAACGTAGAAAAATAGATAGGTAGGTAGGTATGTAGATAGATAGATAGATAGATAGATAGATAGATAGATAGATAGATAGATGGCAGATAATAGTATGGTTGCACTGGTGTGAAATAAAGAAACCCCTTGGAGATGAGAAACTACAGAATGGACTTCTAGAAAGAAACACTGACTTAAGTCATTCTTTAAAACAATGTCTTTCCTGGAGTTGACTGGCAAATTCTGATGACTAGACTACAGTTCACGGAGCATGGCTTTACAGAAGAACAACAAAAATTCTAGGTCCTACATACGCTGGGTCATTATCACATAACCTCATGTAGATTCAAGGCTTCTGAAAGAATAAACTAAGAAATACATATGCAGGCATACATCCACAAAACACACACACATACATACACACACATAAGAAAATGAAGACCATATGAATAAGAGATAGAAGAGAAATAAAAATGCAGACTCAGATTCAGATAACAGAGAGTGCTTCTAACAGATACAGAAAATAAAATAAATATACATAATATGTCTAAAGAGCTGAAAGTAATATTAAATGTAGATGAGTAAGAAAGAGAATTGAAAAATAAAATGTAGTTTGAAACTTTCCCTGTAAAATATAACAAAATAAATTCCAGATGTATTAAAAAATTAAATATTATAAAATGAAATCATACAAATAAAGAAAACAAATACATTTTTCTAATCTTTGGATAGATGAGAGTTTTAGGATTATAAAGCATGTAAGAAATACAAAAATATCAAAATATATAATAACCATGGGATGATACCATTATTATAAGTAGAGAATTTTGCCTGAACTTTGATAGCTGATTACATAAAACTTTTGAAGCTTTGTGCATTAGAAATTATCAACAGTAGTGAGACAAAAAGCAAATCTGAAAACTGATTATTAAAAAATGACCTACTATCACTGTTTTTAATATTTAAAGTGCTCTTACAAATCTATGAGGGAGAAAACCTCCTTCTAGCAAAAGAAAATGAAGAAAACTAAAAGAAAAATCAGAAAAGAAATACATTGTATTTCCCTGGTAATCAAATTAATGCCAGTAATACACTAAAATATCCTTTTCTACTATCTGGTTATGTAATCTGATGAAGAAGTGCAAACCATAAGACCACATCTTACACTCTTTCCTAAAGAAGTTATCAGAGTAAGCATGAAGATAAAAATGACCTACAGATATCTGTCCAATTTTGCAATCTGAGTCTGTATCAAATAATATGTATCTAATTACAGTGTTATAATCTTGATTATTAGGTTTCTATTTCTAAATTATAAGCATTAATTATTGGTCTGGAGCTGAATATAACTGAAAATCTTTGAAAAGATAAATATGTAACTGACAGACACTGACAAATGGCGAAGAATGTAGGGATGATGGTCTTTATCACATCTTATATAGTAGGACCGCAAGAGAAAGTCTAAATGTAGTCAACGATGAAATAGACATGTAAGCTCTCTTCAATATGATAAAGATATCATAGAAGAAACACATAATAAAAATGTATGAATGGTGGAATGAAGGAGGGAGGTGTTGTGAATGATACATTTCTTCACCTTTCCAGACGGAGAGTCAATAGGCAATATGTAATGGTGATAAAAGTACTGATAAGAATATTATTTAGATATTAAAGGTAACTCACTAAAAAACTGAATTGGAAAAAATGCTCAATATTTTCAATTTTGGAAGTAAGACTGGGATAAATAGGTTGAAGAGGACACTTGTTATTTTATTTCTTTACTATTAAGAATTTATTTTACTATGTATTGTTTTTATAATAATTGAAAAATAATTAAATGGAATAATTATTATTAAAGGATTGGTTACAATAAACAAAAATTTGAAACAATCTTAATGTCTGTATAAAGTTTAGAGGGTAAATAATTATGGCACAACCATATAATAACGTGTTATTTAAGTGCTGAAACCAGACTTCAGAGAACATCTTCATAGATTTTTGGGGAAACTCATCACAAAAAGTTAAGAGGAGTAATATCAGAAATTCTATGCATTATGACAGAAATATATGACATTGTTAATAATGGCATCTCTCCTGAATTACCACTGAATTGTATATTTATTTTTCTACCTTTCCATTTTTATTCTGTGATCATATACTCATTATTCAAAAAGGGCTAGGGAAGAGTTACATGCTATTAATGAAAACAACATTGTGATTTACTTGTAACCACAAAAAGAAAAGAAGGCTTGAAATGAAAAGTGAGCTCAGTAATTCATCATTCAACTATCAAAAGGTATCTGCTTTTTAATATTTCAAAATTTAGTCTACATGTAACATTCAGATTGATAATCCTACAGTTTTATAAAGAATGCAGGTAATCAGAATTGTGCCTAAGAAACATTGCCAATCTTTTAACGCTAGTCATTAGAGGGGGGAAAAAAAACTACATTGTAGCCTTGGTTAATTTTAGTCTTTCTAGAGAAGAAATGTCCCAGTGCATTCTATAAATTTCCTACTTAAACTTGGAGAGCAACTGCCCTGGAAGTAGCTCCTAAATGCTTTATATCAAGGAGTTATGTTGGCATTTGATTCCTCAATGTTTGGAGTTCATGAATGTCATTCCTCAAAGGAAGTATTTAGCTTAAATTAGTGTCAGCCTCTTTCTCTTCATTAACTCATGACTACTACCTTCTTAGTCCTTTATAAACACTTCTTGCTTTCTATATTATTGCCTACATCTCAATGTGTGAGTTCTTCTGTTTGCTTTTCCCACTACAACACACACATTCCTCAGTGAACGCTGGCATTTCATGCTAGAACTCATAGAAGCTACAAACTATAACATGACATGAAAAAATTGCATATGCCACAGATTTGTGATTGACTTTCTCTCTCTCTTTCTCTCTATCTCTGTATGTGTGTGTGTGTGTATCTCAAAATAAATAATTCAACTCTTCTTGCTATGAAAACATTATAATTAAACATGAAAGTAATTATCGAGATGAATTTAAAAACTGCTTCCTGGAGGGAACGCTAATACACTGATAGATTAAAGAATAAATTTATTACATGAATGACATTTACTGCAAAATATTCTTCTGAAAATAATCATATTTGGCTTTTAGTTGTCCTTTTATCAGAGCAGTGACATTCTGCTGCAGCTCTCACCTCGTCGAGCATGTTTCTCATCCTTGACACAGACTTCATTTAAGGAACCAATTGGATTGCAATGACATGGCTGGCATGGCCTTGGATAATTTGGAGATACCTAACAAAAATATTAAAATGAATTTAACCAAATGTAATAAAAATAGCAATATTTTTCATTTCAGCAAACTTTTATAGACAAAGTAGTTTTAGTAATACAGAGAAGTAAATTATTGAGAAAATTATAAGAATTACCTTTAATACATGTTTATAATGTCTAAAATCCAGTTCCTTTACGTGCTTACACAAATGTAAAGATGATGGGACAATAAACTCCTATATATTTGTTACTTAGATTCAATAATTATTGATATTTTCATGTTTTATTCCTTTTTATCTTGTTTATATAGTATATGAACACAGTTACTTAAACAAACCTACACTGTGTTCATATGCTATATATACAAGATTTATTTTCCAGATTTAATAGGAAAAAAACAAAAAAACTAAATTATTTGTCCAAGAAATACCCACCTATTAAATATAGCTTTCATATGTATATATATCTAGGCTTAATTTACAAATGAAAACTTGTTTGCTACTATAAATCAGTGTTAAAATTAGACTTATTTATATACCTGACTGAATCTCAATTAACTAAGTTCACAGATGAGTTTCAATATCATCATTTGTTTAAGACACATTCATTCGTTCCCCCATTATGAAGTTAGGACTGTGCACAGAATAGGTAAGGCATATTTTATATACACATATAAATGAAATGTTATTAAGTGGATAAATCTAAAATGACATTTTTAAGACAATAATTTTATGAACATCATAGAGATAAATTATTTAGCTGTTAAACTGCAGTTCACAAAATTTGCATAACAATACCCTTCCCAGCCTTTACTGATCCCTTTATTGTATATTCATTCAGAAGATTCTAGGAAATTCAGTGGAAAGCAACCGCTGGTAAACTGAACAAGGTGAGAAGAGTTTTCAGGTGTTACAAACCATAAGTTAAAGAGAAATTGGACTTTAAGTTAACTACATTAGAAATGTCTGACGAATACCTGGAGTTTGCCATTAATCTGTCCTAACAAAATATGAAAGTAAATTTTCATGACTTCATGGTGATCACTCAGCAAGTTTATTACTCATTAGAATCAATTCAAAATCTTCAGAGGAACGTAACAGAAACCAGTGTCTCTGCATTGTATTCTCCAAAATGTCCTGTATGGATGATAAATTACAGTAGTCCCCACCTCATCTGCAGTTTTGCTGTCTGAGGTTTCAGTTATCATGGTTAACCACAGTTCAGAAATATTAAATGGAAAACTCCAGAAATAAACAATTCATAAGTTTTAATTTGCATTCCATTTTGAATAGTGTGGTGAAATCTCAAGCCATCTTGCTCTGTCTCGCCAGAGATATGAATCATCCCTTTGTCCAGCATATCTATGCTGTAGAGACACTACCCTCCTGTTAGTCACTTAGTCCCATCACAGGTATCAAACAGAAAAAAACATAGTATATATAAGTTTGGTACTATCTGTGATTTCAGGTATCAACTGGAGTTCCTGGAACATATCCTCTGTGAATAAAGGAGGACTACTGTATTAGATATACAGGAAAGAAACAGGAAAATGTTGTCCTTATTAAAAAAAGAAGCTAAAAAAAGCAGATCCTGAGGTGACCCAGATATTGAAATTAGCATGCAAGGAAGTCAACGTAAGTTCTGTAAATATGACCAAGAATATGAAGGAAATCATGTTTATAATGACTGAAGGCCTGGAGCATTTCAGCAGGGAAATGGAAGCTCTAAGGAACATAATAACTCCAGAAAGCTGAAAAGTAAAATACCTCAATTTAATAATTCACTGGATATGCTTAACATCAGGTAAAGATGATAGGAGGAAGAGAAGTCTACCTAATGACTACTTTTGTAGTCATCTGGCTATAGGCCAGGATTTGGTCTACAGGCCAAAGTTTTCTCAAACACGGTATAATTGTTAAAATTATATATAAATAATGAGAATTTATTTATTTATTTATTTATTTATTTATTTTTGAGATAGGGTCTCGATCTCTCACCCAGGCTGAAGTGCACTGGCACAAGTTCAGCCCACTGCAGCCTCAGTTCCTGGGTTCAAGCTATTCTCCTGCTTCAGTCTCCAGAGTAGCTGAGATTACAGGTGCCCGCCACCATGCCTGGCTAAATTTTGTATTATTAATAGAGACGGTGTTTCACCATGTTGGCCAGGTTGGTCTTGAACTCCTGACCGCAAGTGATTTGCCTGCCTTGGCCTTCCAAAGTGATGGGATTATAGGTGTGAGCCACTGTGCCTGGCCTAATGAGAATATTTTAAAATCAGCTATTAAATTAAAGATGCATTATATGTAGAACAAAGTATAAGGACAGATAAAGGGGAAAAGATCCAATCTAAAGAACAGAGAAAGAAAAAAAAATTAATTAGCACTGCCTCAGATACAATCAACACCTTAGCATACATGCAGTTGGAGTCCTAGAAAGAGAAAGAAAAACATTGATCCAAAAATAGGTGTTAAAAAAATAGCCTAAAATTTTCTAAATGTGGAATAAAATCTCAATTTATAGTTCCTGGAAGCTTTGTGAATCAAGCAAGGTAAGCCTGAAAGCCTTACAGACACATCATAGTTTAACTCTGAGGCTGGAGAACTTTTCTGTAAAGGGCCAGATAGTAAAATAAGCCATATAAAGACTCTGTTCATTCCTCCTCCTCTTCTTCCCCCTCAAAGTTCTCTTCATTCTCCCCTTCTTCTACTTCGTCTTTTAACAAACCTTTACAAATGTAGAAACATCCTTTGCTTACAGGTCATACAAATATAGGCCATAAGTTAGATTTGGTCTACAGGCCAAAGTTTTATCATACATGGTATAACTGTCAAAAAGCAGATACAAAAAAATTTTGAAATCATCTAGTGAATTAAAGATATATATAGAACAGATAAATAAATAATGGCTATGTTGTCATAAGAGTGAATGAAATCCAGAAAATAAGGGTACCACATCTTTAAAATGCTAAACAAAGAAGAAAACACACACCTCTGTAACTATGATGAAAATATCCTTCAATAATGAAAGTAGATTAAAGACATTTTCAGATAAAGGGAAGTTGAGAAAATTTGTCAACAGCAGCCCTGCACTACCAAAAAAAAAAAAAATTGCTAAAAGGAAATTTTTCAAGCAGGAGGGCAACATATATAAGATAGAACCACAGAGTATGGGAAATGGGAAAGTTTGGGTTAATGTAAAGTTTATTTCCTTCTTTTCATTTCTTTAAGACTGTTTTTGTAACTCTGTGACTTCAAACAAAAATTACAACATTGTATTAGTGGCTTATAAATTATGTGCAACATATGAAAACTATAGTCCAAAAGATAGGACTATATCACTATATCATGAGCTTAAAATACTACCATCTCACACCCGTCAGAACGGCTATTACTGAAAGTCAAAAATAACCGATACTGGTGAGGTTGCAGAGAAAGGGAACATTTACACACTGCTGGTGGGAATGTAAATTAGTTCAGCCACTGTGGGAAACAGTTGGGAGATTTCTCAAAAAACTTAAAACAGAACTAGCACTCAACTCAGCAATCCCATTACTGGGCATTTACCCAAAGGAATATATATCATTCTACCATAAAGCCACATGCATGCATATGTTCATCGCAGCCCTATTCACAGTAACAAAGACATGGAATCAACCTAGGTACCATCATCGGTGGACTGAATAAAAAAATGTGGTACATATACACTATGGAATACTACACAGCCATAAAAAAGAATAAAATCATGTCCTTTGATGCAACACGGATGGAGCCAAAGGTCATTATCCTAAGTGAATTAATGTAAGAATAGAAAACCAGATACTGCATGTTCTCTCTTATGAGTGGGAGGTAAACATTGAGTACACGTGGACACAAAGAAGGCAACAATAGACACCAGGGCCTACTTGAGAAGGGTGGGAGCGGGGTGAAGATTGAAAAACTTATGCTTATTATTTGGGTGATGAAATAATCTGTGCACCAAATCCCATGACACATAATTTACCCACGTACTCCCTGAACCTAAAATAAAAGTTGGAATGGAAAAAAATATATACAAAGAGGTACTGCTAAAAAGATAATAAAGGAAATAAAATGGAATACTGAAAGATACTTGTTTAACATAAAAGTAGACAGAAAAGGAAGAATGGGAACAAAAATTTTGTGACACAAATAGGAAACAAAGAGCAAAACCCGATCATATTATTAACTATATTAAATTTATGGACTAAACACACAGTAACTTTCAGGATAAAAACTCCATCTATTTTACTCTTTATAAGAAATCTTTTAAATGAAAATAAAGACAGGTTGAAAGTAAAACAAAATCAGAAAAGACATACCATACAGAGTAAGCATATGAAAACTGCTATAACAATATTAATAAAAAACAAAGTAGACTTTATGATAAAAAGTGATATCTGAGATTAAGTGGAGATCATCACAGTTATTAAAATATCAATTTATAAGATATAAAAAATATAAAGATTCAAAATATTCTAAATATGTATGTACCTCATAACAGAGCTTCAAAAAACATGAAGAAATACTGAAAAAATGAAAGAAAGGTAGGAATCCATAATCACAGACTGGAAAAATCCACATTTATTTGTTTACCAAGAGAGACCATGCACTGAGCCATAAGTTAAATTTCAATAAACTTCTAAAGTTTGACATCTTAGAGAGTATGTTCTCAGATCATAAACATCCAGTGTAGAAATAAAAAATGTAATATTTAATAAAACTTAAATATTTGGAAATTAGACAACAAAAAATAAATTGCAAGAGAAATTATAAATTATGTTAAATAGATAATGAACATACAGAATTTCTGAATTCATGAGCAGCAGCTAAAGAACTGCTAGAAGGAAATTTATATTTAAAAGTTCACATGATGAAAGAAGAAAGGTTTAAAATCATTTAACTTTCCAAACTGATAGGTAGCAAAAGAAAATGTAATTTAAACCTAAAACAGGTCAAATGAATAATATAATAAATAGAACAGAATCAATAAAAATACAAAAAATAACATGGCAGGAGTTTTTTTGAAAAGATTAAGAAAATTGATAAACCCCTAACAAAAGTGATCAATAAAAGGAGAAAAGCACAACTTAATCATTTTAAAAACCACAGAGGGGATATCCAGATAGATGCTATAGACTTCAAGAAAATAATAATGGAATTTTTAAAACTGCCAATTGCCAATAATTTGACAATTTAGATGAATTGAACAAATTACTTGAAAAATACAATATATCAAAAATTGACCCTCCCCAAAGATATTAATACAAAACTTATCTAGGCCTATGTCTAATAAAAATTAGCCAATGCATTTAAAAAAGTTTTCCCACAAAGAAAACTAGAGACTCAGATAGTTTCACCGGGAAATTTTATCAAGCATTTTAAAGAGAATTAATTTTAATCTGAAGTTACTTTAGAAAACAGAGGAAGATGAATTGCATTTCCCAGATCATTTGTTGATGCCAGTATACTCCAATAAAAAAACCTGACAAAGACATTATAAGAAAATAAAATTATAGACCAATCCAATATCTTTTATGAAAGGATGTCAAAATTCTTAACCAAACATTAGTCAACTGAATCATCCAATATATAAAAATGATAATATAACATAACCAAATGGAGATTAATTCACAAATGCAGAGCTGGCTTCATATTTTAAAATTAAATTTGTGTAAATTGTCCACGTTAACAGAATAAAGGAGAAAATCCTTATGTTCATTTCAGTAGGTTTCAAAAAGCATATGACAAAATTCAAAACCATTTTGTTATAAAAACTCTCTGCAACTTAGGAATAATGGGGGACCTACTGAATCTGATAAAGGGCGTCCATTAAAAATCTGCAGTTCACGTCATACTCAATAGTGAAATATTACTTTAAAATTGAGAACAAAGTGAAGATGTCAGCTCTCACTATTTTTAGTTAACCTTGGCATAAAGATTGCAAAGGAAGAAGTAAGTCTGAATTTACTTGCGGGTAAAATGATTGTTTATGTGTACGTTTCTAAAGCACGTAGTTTAAAACTACTAGAACTAATAAAGAAATTGAAGATGGCTATAGGACATAAAGTCAATATTCAAAATTCTTTAATAATTACATTAAATAATTTGAAAACTATTTTAAAAACTTTTTTTGCAATCATGCAAAGCAAAATACTAAAGATTAATTTAACAAAAGACATGCAAGATCTCTCTACTGGAACACTGACATGAATAAAGAAGATAGAAATAAATGGAGAGGTATACTACATTCATTGGTTAAATGACTCAATATTATTATGTTATTTTCCTCAATACTTGTTGTCTTTTAAAGTTTAATTTTTTCTTTTGACAAAATTGTATATATTTATCAAGTGTGACATGATATTTTGAATATCACTGTATATGTTATTATATATATACACAAATTGTGAAATGGTTATATCAAACTAATAACATATTATCTAACATAATTATCAATTTTGTGGTAAGAATGCTGAAAATCTACTCTCAGCATTTTTCAAGAATAAATATATTGTTATTAACTATAGTCACCATGTTGTGCAATAGATATCTTCAATGTTTTCCTACTATCTAACTGAAATTTTGTATTCTTTGACCAACAACTCCTCAAGCTCCATTTTCCATATTTGCATGTAGATTCTAAGCAATAATCCTAATATTTTCTGTAATTGACAAGTTGATTCTAAAATTGTATGGAAACACACACACACACACATACCCTGCTATAGACAAAACAATCTTGAAAATAAATAATAAAATTGGTACATTATATTACCTAAATTCTAGACTTACTAAAGCAATGAAGATAGCATGGTATTAGCACATAGAGGGAAAAACAGAGGCTTGGAAAAATAGATAACCGAGGTTCTAGAAATTGATCCATGTAATATGATCAATTGATTTTTCAACAAATGGTATAGAACTTCAGGTTAACCATATAAATCTGGTTACATATTTCACACCACACACAAACATTTACTTGATATGGGCAATATCTCTGTAAGTTTTTAGGATAAAAAATATTATTTAGACATTGAACATGTACTTCATATGAGAAGATACAGGAATGGTCAATAAGTCCTTAAATTAAAATTAAATCCATAATCAGATGCCATTTCACATCCACTAGATGACTAAAATCCGAAAAGGTAGTCAACATCAAATATTAGAGATGATATAGAACAACTGGAACTCATATAACTTTTTGGTGAACACGTTATACATTATTACTAATTTGGCAAAATATTGATGGTTTCTTATAAAGTTAAGCATCTACCTATCTTATGAAAAAAGTATTCTACTCCTAAGTATTTACACAAGGTAAATAAAAACATAACTATAAAACGTATAGTCTAAAAAAATAGTAGTATAAAATTATTTGTAGAAGCTAAGCTAAAACTGGAAAAGATCTTGATTTCTATCAACAGGAGAATGGATTTAAAATTTTAATATGTTCAGGCAGATAAATACTACTCAGCAATTTCTTTCAAGAAAAAGAACTACTGATGCACAAACAACATGGATAAATCTCAAAATGTTATCTTGAGTGAAAGAAGGCAGACTAGTATGTACTGTATGATTTCAATTTTATGAAATTCTCTAAGAGGCACACGTAATTTATGTTCTAAAACTCAGAATAGAGTTTGCCTGGGGTGGGGATTGACTGGAAGAAGCCATGATAAAACTTCCTGGAGTGATGGAAATGTTTTATTTTACATCCTCACAGATTTAGGTCAGTTTCAACTACGAAATGTTCCTACTCACCTTTTAATTTGAGGTTCAACTGCTTAGAGAAGCTTTCAAAAGAATTTTTTTTTTTGTATAAAACATTTTTGTATGAAAAAGCAAAAAATAACTCTTTATGAAAGAAAAAGCATACTTTACCCCTTTGGGTCTGAAGAAGCCATCAATACATGTCTCACAGTTTATACCAGCAGTATTTTGGGTACAATTAATGCAAACACCCCCTCCAATGTACTTTCCATGTATATTCAAACTCAGACTTCTTCTGGCAACATTTTCATCATAATAGCATTCTTCAGCTTTTCCATGACAATTGCATGCTGCATTAGGGAAAAATAAATTAATAAACATTAATTTCAGATTTCAGATACATTTAAAAATCATTTCTATTATACATAATCGATTTTTTTTTTTGAGACAGAGTCTTGCTCTGCTGCCAGGCTGGAGTGCAGAGTGGCACCATCTTGGCTCACTGCAACCTCTACCTCCCAGGTTCAAGCAATCTTCCTGTCCCAGCCTCCCGAGTAGCTGGGACTACAGGTGTGCGTCACTACACCCAGCTAATTTTTGTATTTTTAGTAGAGACAGGGTTTCACCATGTTGACCAGGCTGGTCTTGAACTCCTGACCTGTGATCCACCCACCTTGGTCTCCCAAAGTGTTGGGATTACAGGCGTGAGCCACCGCTCCTGGCCTAGATTTTTGTACCATACGGGAAATTACATTTAGCATACACACACACAAAGGCATCTAGAAAGTATCTGGATTTATTGGAGGTATTAAAAAATTCACACATTTTAATGGAATTTGAAATAATTAAAACATATACATTAAGCTCAATCATATGCAATTGCCAATATTTGATTTTGACTAATGTGCAATTTTATATGGATCAACTTACAATTTCCATTCAATAATTCAATAAAGTATTGAATGATGGCACTGAATGATTAACAACTAGGTCATCTGTAATGAATTATTACCATATGGAAATTTCTGTATTAGAGCCTATGGGTAAAGAAAAATACGTATAATGTAATTCCTTTCTTCTGATACTAATAACAACTAAAACATATTTAGGTTTTTTTCAATGCCAGACACTGTTCTGAATGCTCCATATTTGTTGCTATTGATTTTAATCCTCAAAAATGCTTTTAGGAATTAGGTATTATTATTATCAACCCATTTTTGTATACTAGAAACCTGAGTCCAGAGAAGTGAAATAACGTGTAAAAGATCCTCCAATCAGTATTGGAAACCAACCTCTGAAGCCAGACTCCAGAGTCTGCACTGCTAAAGACTGCCAGGATCCCTTCACATTCTACCTGGTGAATGAAATAAGATACATGGCGTGCGCCAAGGAATTAAGACAAACCGAGAGTTAGCGGCTAAGATCATGCTATTTTGCACCCAACTGTCTTGGATGTGAGTGTGCTCTCCCCTACTTAGTAGTCATATGACACTGGAAAATTCTTAATTACATGAAGGCTCAGTTTCCATATAAAACACGGAGTGATCAATAGTAATTACTAGATTGGGATATCTAAAAGTGCAAGTGAGATAATGCATGTACAATCATTAGCATAATGTCTTATAAATAAGTTCACAATTGATTTTTCTTCTCTTCATCCTCCTTGTCTTTTTCATATGACATTAGAAGAATTCAAAGAAGTGAAAAATCACTTTCTCCAGAAAGGATTGGGTAAGACTTTTGTAAACATGAAGAATTTATATTAGGATAGAACCAGGGAAATATACCGATGCAGAGTCTCCTTCCTATCTGAGATGTTGAGTTTCTTAGGAGTACTTACATTTATTTTCACGTGTGTGTGTGTGTGCGCGCACATAGGTGTGCTTGTATGCATACAGCTCAATCTTTTTATTTATTCTACAAAAGGGAAGAGGCATTTGTATACTGTTTAGAATCCTTTCTTTTTACTAACAGTAAATCATGGAGATCTTTCCACATTAGCATGTGTATCCCCTAAGGGTACACAGGGTACTACTTGAATGAAGGTATTGATCAGGTCCCTATTAATGAACAGTTACACAGTTTCCATGTTTCTCCCTTTCAAATAACACTGAACACATACTGGGAGGACAAGGATGCTGGGTGCAGGGAGGGGCTCTAATGTTAGAAAAGTTTCCTATTTGCCAATTGAGAGACTGAGGCAAAAACTCAAGTCCTAGCATCACTTTAGTACTTGTCTCTTATACATGTTTTGCGAATGCTTAGCAGAATGCCTGAAACATACTAAATACTGAGCTCAAGAAATGTTAGTAGCAGTAGTGGTAGCACTTGTATAATAATGACAAGGATCATGATAATATGCCTTGTACATCTATATGAATATATCTATAGGCTAAACTACTGGAAGCATAATTTCTAGTCAAAGGATATGTAAAATTTAAATTTTAATCACTTAAAAATTCCCCTCCAGGAATGCTATGACAAATGACTTTCCCTCTAGTAGATATGATAAAACAGTGTCTCCATAGCCACCAACCTAGTGTATTATCAACCCTTGAATATAATTCCTGGACATAATAAGCATTCAAATATTTGTTGAGTGGAAGAATAAACACTTTGATAAGAATAAACACTTTGATAAGTGAAAAATAATATTGTCATTGTTTTAACTGATACTTCCTTCATTATGAGTGTGATTATCTTTTTACAAAGTTATATGTCATTTCTGAGGAATACCTGTTTTGATCTTTCTCATTTTTAACAGGTTAATTAACTTTTTTCTATTGATATGTAAGATCTCTTAATATAGAAAGGTTATTATCCCCTTGTCATGTTTGTTGTAAATACCTTTCCCAACCTGCTGACATTTGATTTAGAATATAGTATTTTTGCTATGTTAATGGAGAGTTTCAAACTTTAGGGAACACATAGTAATAAATACAAATCACTAGGCATTGTAAGCAGTTTTATATCTTTAGGACAACATACAAGAATTCCTTTTTTTTTTCTTCAGAAAGACAGTGATATAGCTTGGCTCTGTGTCCCCACCCAAATCTCATTTCAAATTGTAATCTCCATGTATGGAGGGAGGGAGGAGACTGGATCAAGGGGGCAGCTCCCCCACGCTGTCCTCGTGATAGTGAGTGAGTTCTTACAAGATCTGATGGTTTTATAAGGGGCTCTTCCCCCTTCACTTTCTCCTCTCTCTCCTGCACCATGTAAGACATGCCTGCTCCCTCTTTCTCCTTGATTGTAAGTTTCCTGAGGCCTCCTGGCCATGCAGAAGGGTGAATCAACTAAACCTCTTTCCTTTATAAATTACCCAGTCTCAGGTAGTATCTTTATAGCAGTGTGAAAATGGAATAATACAGACAGGATCTCACTATGTGGCTGGCCTCAAATTCCTGGGCTCAAGAGATCCTCCCACCATAGCTTCTTTCCAGTAGCTGGGATTATAGGAGCATGCCATTGGACCTGGCTATGAATTCTTAAAAGCTTTGTTGTAAAAGTGTATTTCAAGAAACAGTCAAAACTTCTGCTGCCAGTATAAGCAGAGGAAAATATAAAGTAGTACAGACTCACACTATTTAGAATTGGTGTTGTCAAGAGTGTTTAAAACTATGAACTACTATAGGTAAAACACTGATGCCAAAGAAACGGTCCTTCACACATTCTGTGCAGCCAGGACCCTACACCTACAGCCCCATTTGCTGTCTGTAGGCTGCAGCCTACCCTGCTCTGTGTGTAACCTTCAAGAATGTGGCTAGTAACTGATCACGAAGCCATGTTTTTGCTCCGTCATCAGCAACTTACTATTTCACGGAATGTCCACGATATATCATATGAAACTGTTCTTTAGTAAAGGCTTAGCAGTTGAATGAATATTCTATGCTTTTTAGAGATATTATCTTCCCTTATGTAAGCTAGATTGATGAAAATCCAAATTAAACTCAAATGAATTAGAATGTGATTATTCATTTTATGGAGGGATTTGTCATGTCACGGAAGGATTTTTCTAAATATTAAGGTGACTGGAATATGATTCAACTTGGAAAAGAACATTTTTACATAAGCTTTTAGGAATGTATTCATTGCTGAAAGTGTGATTTTATGTATGACTTTATGGCTAAGATCCCCATCTTGAATTTCTGGGTTTTTAAAATGTTTGTTTTTCAGTTTGGAAATATGACCTTCCCTCTTTCCTACAGGGAAAGAAAAAAAAATGCTTCACAATTCCACTATTTTAAAAACGTGTACAGTAGCAGTTTGAAATGTCTTGCTTTGCTTAGTCTACCTCTATTGCTAACAAGTTGCTCTATTCTTTTTGTTTTGTATTTAAACATAGAAACACAAGTAAAGAGTGGTAAAGGATTTTGCAGAGCCACTTAACATTACATAATTATCACTGTGTGAAAGCATGTCAGTGGCAACAGGAAGACCCCTAACTTCAAGTGCTGCTCCCACTTATGATGACTGATATTCCACAAAGAGAAGAGAAATGTAATTAAAATTTAAAGAAGCTCGAGAGCAAACATCCCTGGGTGGCATTACATTTAAAGTTACTCTTTAGAACAAATGTCTGTTCTCTATGGAGAAGCTGTGGAGAACTGAGAGATTAGCCAGAACATGGCTGGAAGTAGTTGAAGGAAACAAAGGCTGGGCTTCCAATCGTCCCCTGCTATGTATGGTGAGTGATGATCCAATGGTGGCTCATGCCTCCAGATATGCTTCTATAATAACGGGAGATTTCTAATTCATAATATCTTTATAAGCAGGCAGACACAAATCCAAAAGCAAATGAAGTGAGTGCAGAAAATAAGGAGACCTAATAGCATATATGCAGAATCTCAAACTAAAAAGAAAATACAACCATCCCTCAATATCCATGGGAATGGTTCCAGGACCTCCCTCAAACACCAAGATTCAAGGATACTCAAGTCCCTGTTATAAAGTGGCATAGTATTTGCATACAGCCTATGCACATTCTCCTGTATACTTTAAATCATCTCTAGATTACTTATAATACCTAACAAAATGTAAATACTGTATAAATAGTTGTTGTATTTTATTGTTTAGGAAATAATAACAAGAAAAACGTCTTTACAAGTTCAGTACAGATGCAATTATTTTTCAAACATTTTTGATCTGCAGTTAGTTAGACCCATGGATGGGGAAACCGTGGATATGGAAGGCCGACTTTATATCTTATAGTTGGGGAACATTTTATGATTAAGGTGTGTTATGATTCAATAGCTTTAAAGACCTGTCATGTCTGACATGTTGTACATGATAAATGTGAGTTGAGTTAATTTGTTATTCGGAGAATATATACTGTTGGTATTAATTTAAAATGTCTATCAAGCTGTTTTTGAAGGCCATATATACTTAGTGAGCTGAAAAAAATGTGGTTAGGGCTGATTTACTGTAATATTAATATTTGAATTCAGTTGAATTGGACTTTATGCTAGTTTAGGTTTACAGTTCAGCCCAAGACTATTTTTAGGTCTTTTCTTGGGTTGAGAAAATCTCCAGAAACATAGGTTTCTCCATGATACCTGTCACCTAATAAGACCAGTTGTCACTATTAGGCTATAAAGTCATCTGCTACGTTTCTTAGATATTTCCCTTTAGGAAAAGCTAGACATATGGGTTCTCTTCGAAGTGATAATATAAATGAGTATTTGTTGACACATTTGCATAACCAGCCATTTCACTATTTTTCATTATTGGCTTTTTTTCTTGGAAAGGAAGTATGGCATATTTTGTTGGCTTCTAAAGAACATACCTTCACATTCAGTTTTAGTTAGAAAAGTTCCAGCTCTCCAGGGTTTCTGATGGAATCCTGGACAGCACTGATCACAGCTATCGCCACATGTGTTATGCTCACACTCACAGCGAGATTTCTAGTCAAGAAGAGGGAGGAAGCACAAATTTCAGCCTTATTTAGAACCATAAAGGAAGCCTCTCTCTAAAGGTACTACGAAGAAAAGAGAAAACATCTGGACTATGTACTAAAATGTAAAACTACACAGTCTAGGAAGAAAGTGGTGCCAGGTTTGAAGTTGGTGTATTTGATCAACATCAGCTTCAGGAAGTCCAGGCTGGTTCTGGAATCACTGGGTTTAGGCTCAGAAGAAAGCAGGAAGGCCAAGCTGGGAGTGGTCTTGAAGACTGAATTCTCCTTCTCTGATGCCTGGGAGCTATGTGTTTTTTGGGGGTCGATGTGCTTATTTTAAGGCTCCCCTCAAAATGTTGTTAACATTTTTGGATATGGCAAAAAGGAGGGAGTTGATTCCTAGGCCTCTGGGATGCAGGTAAAACATAAATCTAATGTCTCTAGGACTAAATCTCCTGTCTGTGTGTGCTCTGAATACAGTCTCAATATGCTACATGGAACTGGCCTTCCAAGGCTGTCTTGTGGACTTTAAAAGCCTTGGAAACACTGCTCATCAGTACACCTGATAGAAAGCACCTTGCCTGCATTAGCTGTTTGTCCTGATGTTATCCCTCCTTTTGTCTCCCTCCATCTGATAAGCCCAGGTGTGTGTTGTTCCCCTCCTTGAGTCCATGTGTTCTTATTGTTTAGCTCTCACTTATGAATGAGAACATGCAGTGTTTGGTTTTCTGTTCCTGTGTTAGTTTCCTGAGGATGATGGTTTCCAGCTTCATCCATGTCCCTGCAAAGGACATGATCTCATTCCTTTTTATGGCAGCATTGTATCCCATGGTGGCATATGCATTTTTTCCACTTCTTACAAATAAAATAACAGTAAATGGATTTTTAAAATGCAGAAAGCCAGTGAGACAAAGGGACTCTAAAGCCTGTGGAAAATTACACCTAGGTGACGGGGCAGGTGATAGGGGCAGCAAATGACCATGACATGACACACATTTATCTATGTAACAAACCTGCATGCTGTGCATGAGTACCCCAGGATTTAAAGTAAAATTTTAAAAAATGGGAAAAAAAAAAAAAAAAAAAAAAGCACCCATACTAGGCAGAAAGCAGCACTGCAGCTTTGTCCATAAAAATATGCTAGTGTACTTTAATCTTCCCAGGAGATAACATTATAATCCAATAATCAGAAAACTAACTTTGAGTATAATGTCATTTGCATTACAATATTTGAGAAAAAAATTTGTGGCCTATTTACATTCACTGATGTTACTATTCAATGTATTTTTCCATATACTATACAGGAGATGAGTTTGAATTTCACCAGTTTGTCTACGACAGGAAAAACAGATGCTCATTATTCATCTTCTCCTTTAGGTTATGTTCACTTAATTCATTGTCATTAATGAAAAAACTCTATCCAAAAGCATTCTGGCATTTTCCGGCTTGCCACTACTGCTCTCTTGATTCTCTCATCCACTCCACCCCCTCCATTCCCTCATTGCCCCTGCCCTACTTTATCCTCCTGTTCCATTGCCATTTATATATTTACTTCCCTGCACATTTTTTAATTCATTTGCATTAATTTTTTGATTAAAAACTTTAAAAGAAATGGTCAGGTTGATTGATGGCAGGCATTCGCTAAAGCTACATCATGAGGCAGGCTGTCATAGCTAGAGAGGTTTCAAAATAGATAGAGCAGTTTGGAGCCTTTTTGGAAAAAAAAAAAAGGAAAAAGAAAAACTAATCTGTTTTCTGATACTGTGATGGCTGATTTCAAAGTCTATCATCCTAACTGCCAGCTCTTATTTCACCCTGGCATGGATTTCTGTTACACTGTCTAAGTGGGGACCTGATACCCATTTACAGTGTTCTCTGTCAGCAAAGACTCTCATGAAACATTTTACAGCTCAGGGCTTCATTTTGCCTAAGCATCCTATAAATATACATACATTTGTCGCTGGATCAAGTGGACAAGCCCTGGCATGACCATAGCAGATGCACATCCCTCCAACTGAAATATCCTTGACCGAGTAGTAATACTGCAAAAAGCAATCCAGAGAGAAATCCTGTTAAGATGAATGCAAGGTGAAAATAACAAAAGGGGACATTCAGTAAAAACTTTATTTTCTGCTTTTATCCTTAGTTTGAAGGACATTTGTGTTTCTTAAGGACAAGTGAGGACTCACAAAACCGACAAAGTAACTTCTAGCATTGTAATCTTAGCCCAAAGGAAGAGTGGCCTTTAATTTAAGTTAGGTAGGCATTTTAGAAATGTCTTTCTCCCAGTCGGTACCAAGTCCATGTTGGAGTACCTGTGGCTGACAGTAGTTTTTATCTGGGGCTAAGGACAACTATTCTTCTTAAAAGTTGTTTTACATAGTTTCTTGCAAGAAACCCTCTTTTATTGTGATTATAGGAACTGCAGTATTCACAAATCATATGCACACTGTTTTACTTGATGGATTTGAAAAGAACTAACAAAATTTAGGGAGAAATTGTGCTCATAACAATATAGTCCTTAATTATTAAGAAGAAAATTAAAAAGTCATTAACTGTAAGTTTATTGTGCAGAACATTTGCATTTTTATATTACTATGTTTAAAAGTCCATACAATTACCTTTATATATGAAGTTAATATAGAGCTATCTTACTAATTATTTTAATCTATCCAGCTATTTTTTAAGGATAATTATGGAGGCTGGACTATTTTTAAAATTTTAATTAATATGTATATAACATTTTATAATTTTCAGAGCACTTTACATTATCATATTCAAATAACCATCTTAGTGTTCGATAGTTCTATTATTCCAATTTCACACACAAAAGAAAAACACAGATTTAGCAAGAATATGTAGGTGGACACATATCTGAGTTACCTGACTAAAAATCCCCTTTTTCCAATTTACTTCTTTGTTTCTTTTTCCTTTTACTTGTTTTTGTTACATACATATAGTGTCTTTGAAAATATATTTGTTATGTTATCTTATTTGATATACCGAGACCTTGAAGTAATGGAACTGGCTAGGGAGTTTGGATAGTATAAATTTTTTTTTTCATTTTACCTCATCACTTAATAATATACATACAAATAGAGATATTTGCTTAGAATGCTGATACAGTAGTATTTGTAAATGCTTTTAAAACTGCGAAATCTATTTCAAATAGAAATGTATAATGCTTTGCTTTTGAGTCATGAAGAAGAGCTAAAATTCGCTATCTTATTTTTATATATTTAAATTTAGATGTAGTGTTTATTGAACTTCAGTACTTTCAAAACAACATATTTATATGTTGACTTATACTGCACTATTTTAAAGGCTCATGTACGATAAAGTTACAAATAATAGCTGTGTACCCCAACCCCCACTCTGCCTCCTGCAAAAGATGATAGAAAGAACACTAATTTATTTTCATTGATTTTTTTTCTCTGCTAGATATACTGTCAAGAAAGATTAAATTTCACTTCAATATTATTCAGTCTTCCTCGGTGTATATTTTTAAGTCACACCAAAATTAGAATTGAAAATGTTTTCTTAAATGAGTGAAAAATCTAAACATTGCTATAAAATAATGATTAGTTTTACATGAGACAATGTACAATATGTTGAGATATAATACAAGGGGGAAATTATTTCAAGTTTGGAAAATACAGGGCACTAAAACATGTGACATACGTTGCATAGGACTAACTAAAGCCTTAAAAGTTACCTTGTGATGATGGAGAGGTTAGATGTGGGAAGTTAAGTAACGAGGAAAGAAAACATGTGAGGAGTATTTAGGATCTGTAACTATTTACCCTAGTGATTCAGCAATTTTGCAACTGATAACAGTGGTGTTACCTTAGTAGGATCATTCTAGAATTAAGTGCTTTGTCCTACAATATTAATTTCTCCCTATAATCCTCTTTCTTAGCGATGCCTCTAGTCATACAGTATATACTCTATTCATAGGAGTTTGCTTTATGGAGTTATGGCTGAATTGATTTCACTGATAATAATGTCTTGGTTGTGTAGCAGCATATGTGGGAGGTGCCATAAACCAGTGAATGTGGTAGAAGGTAGACAGGAGGAAGCACGGTTATCTCTCATACCAATCTGAGTTGGTCATCTATCTTGTAATTCCACAAATTCCTGTTTAACACTGGAAGACAGCACGTCTGTTAGCTCTTGTGTTCAAAAAGCTTTTGAAAAGATGCTTTAAACTTTTTTCACCTAGTATTTTATTTGTAAAGGAAAATAAAACAGTATGTAGAATCAGTTTTCTCCTATAACAGTGCATTTTTAAAACTATGGATTGTGATTCATTTATCAAGCATAAAACCAAATTATTTGATGGCCTACAAACCAGCAACACCAGCATCACCTGGAAAGTTTTTGAAGTGCAGTGTCTCTGCTCTGCCCTACTGAATCATAATCTATATTTCCACAAGATCACTGGCTAATTCCATGCACATTAAGGTATCAGACATACTGCTCTCTGTATGTGTGCATGTGTGTATACTGGCTCAGTTATGGCAAAAATCATGTTTCAAAGCCCCTGCACTTGCAGTAGTAACTCGCCAAAGCCAATTATAATAATAGTACAGATCACCTAAAGTACAAAGACTAATTTTATTCTGAAAAATAAGATTATTAACTAGACATTGTGATTCTCATTTTACAAAAGAAGAAATTAAAGTTTGAGAAGGCTAAAATGTTTGATAAATGTTACACGTGTAATAAGTGGCACAGCTTGAATATGAACAAATGAAAGTCTGCCAAATTTCAAATAATGATAATTAATAAAAATAATTTAAAATTCTAAAATAAAAATTTGATAATAACCACTCCTACAAATCACTAACAATTTTTTAAAAGTATTTAACAGACAAAGAGATAACTGGGATATCATTGGTAGGTTCTAATACGATTCATCATAACTTACTCTTCTGGTGACAATGGGGTCAATTTCTCTTGGGTCTTTGTGAGCAAACATCATCAAGTCAGCATTCAGTGTGCGGATCCTCTGAAATCTCAGGCGAATATAGCGAGCAGAGGTAAACTCCAGCAGTTCTGGAGAAGGATCATCGGCACTTGGTCTCCCATTGATTAAAGAGATGTGAATCTAGACAATATGAAAAATAATTTAACAATTATGTTTTCCAAAATTTTAATATTGATTTTGTTTCTTTTTCTTGGAAAAATAAAGGTAACTTCCTATTCTCCCAATCTGTTAGGCAGATTCAGGTACATGCCTATACACTGGCATCCAGTGAAGTAATTGACATATGTTATAGTCTTCTTAATACATGTACATGCAATTTGTTTGTTTATATCATAGGCATTTCTCTATCTACTTCAGCTACCTCTATTTCTTTCTTCCAAGGCACTGCACCAACTTGACCTTCTTAGGATTTCCATGAATTCTTAATCATTCTTTCTCTGAAAATTATTGTGCCCTAAATTATTTAAGAATCTGGGGTATGGTGGGAAACCAGAAAACTTGGGGAAAAAGTTATAAAACATCAGATTAAAAAAGGAACCCATTAGGAACTTAAAATAATTCTATACTTGAAAGCGTCACATTATGTAGCCTTAAAATGTGGAGAATAAAAATTACAAGAAAAACTAGACAAATCTATCTTCACAGTGAGATATTTCAATAGGTTGTTTTAGGTTATTGTTGTTTGTAGTTTTTTTTTAGTAATTGATAGGTCAAGAAGACAAAAAATGACCAAGAATGTAACATACTCTATGAAAATCACACTCTAAAAAATATGTTAAACCTGAATGGAACGGTGAATTTTTTAGGACAATAATTTAGCACAGTTGAAACCGAAAGAAATACAATTCAGTGAGATCATTTTCTATGTGAAAGAAGAATTGAGAAATTGACAACAAACTGCCCTCCAAAGGTGTACAATGCTGGCAGGCTCTCACAGAGACGTCCCAAGAGCAAAGAATTCTGATGAAGAATAAACTGTGTGATAAAATAAAAAGTACTGTTAGCACAAATAAAGGAAGTATGTTCCTATTACCTAAAGAACTCTTGTTAATAAAGAAAGAAACACACCAACAACATAACAAAATGCACAAATATATGAGGGCCCTATTCAAAGAAAAGAAAATGAAAATTACTGTTAAACGTTTATAAGATACTGATCCTCCCTCATAATAGGATAAATGTTAGTTAAAAACACACTAATAAACTTCCTATTTTTTCAGATTGGCAAACTCCACAAATATTAGTAATACTCTCTGATTGTACGACTAAGAGAGTAGATACATGTCTCTTACATTTACAGGTATAAAGTTAAAATGATACAAATTCTCAAGAAAGTAAATTGAGCAGTAACTATCAAAATTAGAAACACACAGTAATTTTGACCTAGCAATTCCACTTCTAGGAATTATTCTACAGATATAAAATGATATGGATACTATAATGCAGGTGAACTGAATATGGTTAATGGACTGAATGTTTGCATTCCCCCACTAAAATTCATATGTCGGAACCCTAATCCCAAATGTGATGATATTTGGGGGCAAGGCCTTTGGTAGATAATTAGATCCTGAAGGTGGAGCCCTCATGAATGAGATTAGTGACCTAATAAAAGGAGGTCAGAGAGCTAGCTAGCTCTCTTTCCACCATGTGAGGCTACAAGAAGTCAGCAATATGCAAGCCAGAAAAGAGTCCTCACCAGAGGGCAACCATGCAGATACCTTGATCTCAGACTTTCAGTCTCCAGAACTGTGGGAAATGAATTTCTCTTGTTTACAGCCCACCTAGTCTATGGAACTTTCTTATGGCTGCCCAAACTGACAAAAACAATATTATTACCTCAGCATTTTTGATTATATTTTTTTTTTGGTCACATCAAAGGACTGGAAATAACCTAGTATCCATCAATATGGGACTGGTTAAATAAATTGGATATCTGCATAATGAATTATTTGCAACCATAAAAAAGAATGAGGAATCTCTCAATATACAGATAGGAAGAATCACGTATTTTCACTTTTTTTTTTTTTTTGTAAATGGATTATTACCTATGTAACAAGTTGAATCAAACCAAAATTGTTAAAGAAAGTGAAATTGAGTGGTAGATTTTGAACTGAAAATACACACACACACTCACACACACACACACACAAACATACACACAGCGCCAAACGTACAGGGATGCAGGAAGTGGGAGTTCTGTGCTGTCTGGGAGATGCTTGGGTACAGGACAGTGTGTGCACTGGGGAGCTGTGACTCAAGGTCACCCACTGAAATTTTCATCCACTTTTGTAAGATGATATATAATGTGTGTTAATTACATTTTTTGACAGGAGAGGCAATGATATGTATTTCCATTGCTAACATCCTGCATTTAGATAATCCCAGGGAGCCTTTTACAAACTGACTGCCAATAAACTACTTGAGTCACCAGAGAAATATAGCAAACTCTGAGACGAGAAACTAATTCTGGTGTCACAAAGAATAGACTCAAAATGCCTCACGATAAAAATATGAATATGTTCCAGCTAATTGAATCTACCTTGGATACTTAGTAAGGAATAGAATGCAAGGTCTTCTAAAATACTGAATCTGAAAATACTGAATCCCCTCTAATGCAGGGATTCTAAAAGAGTAAAGCAGATCTTGTATATTCCTCAAGATACACATTTCTGGCATCTAGCAGGTGAGCCAGAAATGTGTTTAGAATTGAGTTATATTTTTCGCTTAAGGAAGTAAGAGTTAAATGTTAAAAGAATGGATAAATGTATGGATGAAGCCATTAACACTAATTTCCCTCTGAAATTAACCTTGGCACCCAAGAAAGTCACCAGTGCCGTTGAACTCAAGCTTACATTTCTATCAAATTCTCCCTTGACTGCCCCCAAAAATACTACTTGAAAGAAAGAAGGAAATCAATACATGTCTAGGATTATAGTTTCTGAACATTATTAGGGTTTATTTGGTGCGAATACTGTGGTGAATCATGTTTGTGCCGTATAAAGAATCAGTAAGTTTCTCACTTAAATATACAAAGCACTTTTTTGGAAAAGAAAGGTGTACATATTCTCATTTAAGTTAATAAACCGTATGATAGCTACATGAAGGATTCAGCAAAAGAACACTTCTCACAGCTTTGGTATTTTCATCAAGCTACTCTGCCAAGAGATCTTGTGAATACAGTTAGTCCCAAGCTGTTTCTGGGATATAAAACAAGCCAGCTGTTTGGCGATGTTGTGTGCAGCTTCCTTCCACCGTTTTGTGTGTAATTATTTTTTTCCATTTTCCTTCAAAATAAATCATAATGTTGGATAGGATATTTCCACGAGCACAATGCAGTGTAATTCCAAGTCCACTGGATAGCTTAGCATACTTCCTGATTTCCTATGGGGTGACAACCGGAGGGTGGTATCAGTCTTCAAGGAAGATGAAATGTATCCAACCCCAAGACCACCACTGTCTTGCTGTGAGGACCTGAGAAATCTGTGGCAGCCTCTAATGTCTTGCAAAGTGGTTTCTATTACAGACCTGGTGGTGGGTGTATGTTCATGCTGTCACAGGAATTCATTCCAACTGAAAATATCAGACTATGGGTATCAACTGGTTTTTTAGATTTTAAAATTATACTTTTCTTTGAAATTCATTTTCCAAGGCAAATAAATGGGGGAAACCTCATCAGAAATATCTCTTTTTATAACCAAATGACTATATCAATATGATACTCTGTTCACCCAAATAATCCTGTTTTTACTCGTGTAAGCATACTATATAAATCATGTTTCCTTTACAGATTAGTAAGACCTCCGTGCCTCTCTGGCATTTTTATTTTAGAATACATTTTAAAAATGATTTATGCCGCAAATAATTAGATTTCTCATATAGATGATTTTCCAGTATTATGCTTGTCTGTTTATGTTGCTACATTTGTTTTGGACAGCTGGAAGAGCCATAATTCTAATACCTTCCCTACCAATACAAGTTTCTTGAGTGAATGGATAGACGGGAGAATGAAGGCTACTGAAAGGTCATGAATAAGTATCAGAAACTTTGAAATAAGTAGCAGAAGTGGATAAAGTTGGCAACTTGATGTGTTGTATGCTCTCTCTTAAAACATGTTTGTGTTATCAATCTCTACAAGTGTGCAAATGAAATAAGCAAAACAAATTGAAAGTAAGCTGACCCCAGGAGACAAAACAGTAAATCCATACGTGTAGTTTGAGATTAAGAATGTACGAATATGGACAAAGAATTTGTATGTAAATGAGTGGCTGAGACATCTGGGAACCTCTTAAATCCAGTCATGCTCAATATGGCATTATTTCAGGAGAAATAATAAGATTATAAAAGGAACTTTCAAAAATAAGCCTAATCTCTTTTCTTTTGACTGTATAAAAAAAGAAGTACCATCACCCCTCATCAGTTATAGTTTCAGGGGATTTGTGGGGATTGGTTCCAAGACCTCCTGTGGATATCAAAATCTGAGGATGTTCAAGTCTTTGATATAAAATGGCATAGTATGTGCGTGTAACCTACACACATACTTCAAAATTATTTAAATCACATCTACATTACTTTAAATACCTAACACAATGTAAAGGCTATGTAAATAGTTGTTATACTGTATTATTTAGGGAATAATGACAAGAAAAAAGTCTGCACATGTTCAGTACAGATGCAGGTATTTTTTCTAATATTTTTCATCTGCAGTCAGTTGAATCCGTGGATGTGGAATCCACAGATTCGGAGGTCTGACTGTATACATTTGAAGAAGCGAGGTGAGCTATAGAAAGCTCAAGGACTGGGAACAATGCAACAATTGGTCATTGTGTTTCTAGCACAGACTAAAGGCTCTGAGTCTGGCTCGGGATGGTAAATAGGTACATTTTGGTTTATTCCTCCATAAGGCTCCTATTATTCCATTGGTCTTCCTCCATTCCACTGAAACTGCTCTTGGGAAAGTCACTAATGTCCTTCACATTACTAACTGAAGTGTTCAATTCTCAGTCCTCACCATATTTGATCCATTCGCAGCATTTGAGACAACTGATTACTCCATTGACTTCCAGGACACACTGTTCTTGTTTTCCTACTACTGCTTCAGCTACCCCTTCTCAATCCCCTTC